CAGCTGTCATAAAGAGTATGGAATTCGAATTAGAACACAAGATTCATCAAACGAAGGGCGCGCAGAATTTTAGGATACGGTTCCAACCAAGTGTCACAAATGTACAAATATTTCAACATAAATGGAATGGAGAGCATAGGCCTGTTTCCCGTTAATGCAGTGATGTTTGATAAACCGAATTGACAGGTGACGCCCTGAGGCTCTCCAGAAAACCGACCCAATGAGAGAATTTCTAGGAAAACCGACCCGGTTAAAGCGCACGTAAAACCACCCTCACACCACACACCACACAGCCCACACATTCTGGCGATCAACATTGATCCATAGCTCAGTCTCAGAATTAACTTCAACTGCATTGATCGCCACGAACAATGGGAGATTGGCAGTGGCGACGATTGGCCTGCTATCTAAATTCTTGTCTCTTACGAAAACAGTGTTTCGTGTCATTGTTGCACTTTTACCTCGTTATCGATGTATTCGTTGAGTTGTTCCCTACCCACCTCGAACAAAACAGTGGATGAACTAGACCCGGGGATTTGCTCACGGACATTGAGTACGCCGATGATATTGCTCATGTTGAATTGGACCATTTAGAAAGTAAGCAGTCTTAAATCTGTTGCATAAGTTGGCAGTCCCTTTGCAATTGCGAATGTTTATTGTAAGGCACAGACCACTTGGCAGAACCCATGTCTACAACCATCGATGCATCCGAAGCGTCTTGCAATTTTGATGGGGATATCAAATTTGTAGTGCTGATCTACGCCAGAGGATCTTTAGGCAAGCTTATTCTCCCTCGGGGGGTTAGCTGGTCACAATTCACATATTACTATGTTCATGTCATTTACTTCCTATGTCGGAGAACCGTTCGAATAACCTGAACCGAATTGAATTAGTCAAAGCGGTTAAGACCTGTATTAATCAACCCAACACAATGAAAAACACCCTATTTTTCCTCCATCAGTTATCGCACTTGGTCTCACGGGGCGACGAAATTCTCAGTGAATACCAACGCCTACTTAGACTGTCATTGTGCCGAGATCGTTTTCATATGTTTCTCAGTCTGTTTTGGAGACTGGTGAACCTATCGGCGACTCTCAGGCAATTGGTTCGATTCGAGAAAACTGCTAAGTGACAGCAACTGTCCGATTTCGGGATGGAACCTCAAAATGTGTTTCAGCGCATCCACATGCAACTGATAATGAGCGGGGCAGGTTGGCCAATGACCATGTGCCGGCGGTATACTCTACATACCTTGGTTGTAACCCACCGACAGACTCTGCCCAATAGTGTAAATGACACAACTGAAAGTTTCGCTAGCAGATGTCTTGCTATAGTACATCGACAGGATAACGGAGCGACTTGATTGCAGTAGTAACCTGCGAGTATCAGACCAGTAGCCGTGTGGGAAACGTAGTATCACGTAATAATTTCTGTGCTGTATTGATTGTACCATACAGATGAAGCTATTTTTCGGTAGGGTGTCAACAAACCAACGAACGATGTGTTCGTGTTCTGCTACAGTGACGTACCGTCCATCATGGCAAAGGTGTCGTTGAAGATGGCACAACAGAAACACAAATGGAAACATGGCGATCTGCTTCGTTGTTACCACCTCCCCCCGGTTTGTGCTCTCTTTGGGATGTCCACAAGCCTTCGCAATCCGACTCGTTAGGTTAGCACTAATATAGTTACATATTCGCACCACATCACCCTGACTTTTCGCAATGTGTGGACCTGCTCAGCCACTGTACACAACTTTGCCCATCACCTCACTTGTTACTCCCCTCAGTGGGAGTCAGCTAAATTTCTGATGTTTATTTTAAATAAAGCATTTTGGATGGATGCACAAGGTTGGTGCAGTTTGCACCAACTAATGGATTACAACGAAGCAGACAAATTGTTCACTCCTGTTCAGATATTATATTACCTTGTTCTGGGTTCACAATATTTCCCATAATCTGACAGTGCATGGGTGACCTCCATGGAGTTACCTGGAAGAGGATGATAATGACTAATCAACCTCAAAGTGCTTACTGCGTAATGCCAGGTGGATTGAGTGCTTCTACTCATTTTACTGTTGGAAGCAGTTGGTATTCCATGCTCGCTCATGTGGTATCTTCAGATATGTTTGGTTTCCGATTCACTCAGTTCGAATTACTGCTTTGAGAAAAGAGTGCGAATTCCGTACACTTGGATGGAGTGCGTCAGCGACAGTCGTTCCGAGTCCAGCATTTGACCAGTCCCCAATCAAACATTTGAATGTGTAAAACCAGTATCGGCGGATAATAATGCCGGCAACTGGAGGCATCATCCTCTATGGAGTCCGGTGAATCCCACCATGAGATAGTGTTTATCCAGAACGGTGAAAACCCCACGTCCAATTGGTCAAGATGAGGTCATACTTTGGAAAACTTACTGTGCACTATATATCTCAATGTTTCATACACATTGCACAATGTGCGTAGTTGGAGTGGTTGATCACTGCCAGGGTATAAAGGGTTGGGGCGTGAGATAAGTGTGGGGCAGCACCGGCCATGCGTATGATGTGCAAATCAGCTCTGATATTTCAAACGCAGTGCACACTTGGCAAGCACACGCGAAAAACTGGTGAACAAGAAATATTCTGTTCTGGGAGAAAATTCCATGGCTTTCCTAGTATGTATGTTACTATATTGTATATTGTACAGTGAAATGGCTGACATTTTTACTCCCTTTGTGATCATTTGACTTTAATGTACCTGACAAATTCATAGCCTTTGCACTCTGTATACAACTTGTTTCATCCTACGAGAATCTCAGAAAAAGAACCATATATTTTTTCTATTGAAACGCAAGGAATTGTGAAGTTTGTCGGGGCCGAGTGAATCCCGATACGTGATTCAGCCAGTCAGATGACAAAAGCCGCCTAAGGATTGTAAGCTGTGCAGAGTTAATTGGATTCCATTCTTGCATTTGAAACTGTGCTAACGGACAGCCGAAATTGTTAGTTGAGTCACTTCAGCCCCCGTCTGGTTCAGTGCATCTTCAAGGCTGTAAACTTTAAATGTGAACTGACCAGTCTGCTATAGCAGAGCAGTTGGAACAATTCCAGCTATTTCCATAACAGTAAAAACTTCAACATAACACATTGTGAAAATAACTTGATGTAGGGCTCGTTGAGGCTTAAATCCAATATGTCAACTATCATGGTCTGATGAACACATTCCGTTAAATGGATAATATTCATATTCTAGTTCCTGTCTCACTACTCAAAATCCCCCAGTCTCATTAACAAAACCTGGTAATGATTTGGATGGACGGTCCTCCACGATACCCCCCTCTACTAATGAGGCACAGAACGCAATCTCAGGTTATTTCTCGGTGTGGACCACCCAATCTAGCGTTACCCTCAAAACAAGTAGCAACAATGCACAACGTGTATTGGCGCCCAAAACCAGGTGTAAAACGTGTGTACAGCGCGTCGCTTATAAAATGATTAAGGCACGAAGTTCGGTAAATTCATATGTCTTCTGGAAGAGCCATTTGCGACCGGGAATCGACAGATACTGGATCATGATTGGCCATTGCATCCAGACTTTCGGCTAATCAAAGTTCGTCTTGTCTTTCGAAACTTCTTGAACAGGCTCACAGCTTTTACATCATTCAAATGATGAGACTCTTCACCTTATGCTTCTTGCCACACTGCTGCCCGCTTCCGTGACGCGTGGTCTTCAAAATTGATTTTGCATGTCTGATGCCTCTCAGCGTTTCAGTTGGTCTTTCTTTGAACCTGTGTTTCGTTACATTCAGTAGGCTTCTGTGCAATAAACTATCTTCAGTTGTTACTCCAAATTTCTATTAAGAGAAACACCTCCAAACGTAACGTTTCTACATAAAAGTCAATGGAATAACCGTCTCTATTGAGACAGATTTCATTGGTTGTTCTTCACTTGCCCTTGACAGATGAGTTGTATTGACCGCTGTATGTGACAGTGATCAATAGATCAGCCGGTTCGCACGTTCATTGACTTTCTCGGGTTCAGCCGAGCGCATCAGGCTATCAATGGGCTATCCAGACCGGGGTTTACGGTAATGAGAGGGCATTAGGGAGACTGCGGTCCAAAACACCTTCGTACATTTGCTCTCGTATAATTCGACAGCGTCATCATTCACAGACTGTCAAATTGAATTTCGGAATTCGGATAACATGCAGTTGCTCTGGGTTGGTTAGTTATAATTCTATGGCTAAGTTCGTCAGGGATAGCAAATTCTGCGTTCGAGTATTTCGTCCTTCCACTAGTGATCTGCGTTACATTGTGGTCAGACTGGTTGATTCGCTCCTTTCGATCTGTCATAATCCGCTACGATCGTCCTGACTGGTCCATTTCCAATTTACTGTTTTTTTCCGGGGCCCGGATGGATGAGTTGCGCGATTTTGTCTTTCGGAGCACTCATTGTTTGAGTATCATGTCTGTCAAACCGCTTCACATCCTGGCCCAATGACTTTTGAATGTGGATGCTGTTTTGTTTTGGTCCTGTTCGTTTCTGTCTTATTCCGGGCGAGTCGCGGAGTTCGATGGCTTTGGATTTCCTTTAATCTAGAAGGTTGGCTGGGAGACTTCTTCTCAGAATGCCAGTTTATCGATCAGGTGCTATCAATATTCTGTGTGAGACCGAATGCCCAGTGAACACCAATTAGCCTGTGACTGGTCGTGCTCCTTAGATTTCCATTGGATACAAATCCTACTTGGAACCTGATTGGTCGATTTGAGTTGCACCACATGAATATTGCAGGTGTTCGAGTTGACAGATATCCTCATTCGCTCGTGACGATGCGGACCACGATTCTCACTTCGCTGTTGATATTGTCATTCGGGCAGACAACCCACGGTCAGGGTAAATGTATGTATTCCGGTGACTTGTCATTTGGAGGACGGGCTGGTTTGTTTTTATTGTAATGAGGTGAACAGCGAGACATCTGCAATTTTTATTGATTGGTTACTCTTCTTCTTCTTCTTCAGTTCACACTAGCCAATGCTTTCTAAATCAATTGCCCACTTTCTCTGGTATTTCAGTGTTTGCTTTGGATCGCCTGTTCGAAGAGTATGCACCTGTTCGTGAGTTCGGTTTTACACATGCAAATAAATGATGAAATCTCACGCCCCGAGATAATGCCGTAAATTGAATGCAACATTAAATGCGGGGGATAATAATGGGTGGCTCTTTCAATGATATTGAACAACGTTGGATCGGTCGCATAGAACCGCAGGTCCCCGAAAAACTCTCTGTGTGTGATTTGTTTCGGGTGAGGCTCCTAGTCCTGGTAGTCTGTACCGTTCTAAGTGTTATGCATAAGTGATCTCGTGAGAATTTGCTGAACGACAAATGACTTGGTGCCAGGGAATAGCTGCGAACAGACATTGATAGTGCGAGTCGTCTCGGTATGGACGAGTCAGAGCTCGAGACGCCTTGTGAATATGCTTTTGAAGATTACAACGAGCCATTAGTTCGCTGTATGTGTTAACAGACATTGATAGTGCGAGTCGTCTCGGCATGGGCGAGTCAGAGCTCGAGACTCCTTGCGAATATGCTTTTGAAGATTACAGCGAGCCATTAGTTTGCTGAATGTGTCGCGAAGTTGCGCAAATACTCGTAGTAGGCTGTCATTTGTGAACGCTAGGGGATAAACGCCAGGACAGAAACCGCTTTAAGCCACGCTTATATATAAGAAGGACTTCTGGAATTCCCTCTGTACGCTTACACATTTATTCCTTCGTAAGTGCAATCAGAGTGTTCTTGGTCGTGAAATTTCTTGAACGTGCACAATACACATCCGCTATGAGAACAGACCGTTTGTGCAACAGTGATTACCTTCGAAAGGCTAACACCCGTGAGTTAAACGAACCAAATGTGAGATCGAATAAACCCCGGCGAAACAGTTGTAATGGGTGGGCGGAGGGGCGAATAATAGTATCACTTCATTTCACTGTATTTTGAGAGACAATGGTCGACCAGTTTTTGGCCTCTATAAACAATCCATTCAGAATTCGAACAATATACGTTCTGTGAGTGGTCACAAAAGCCGTGACAAAACAAGTACGTAATTAAACCTCGGACGCAAGTTAACATTGGTTTATGGAGAGATAGGGAGAGAGAGAGAGAGTGAGGTAGTGTGATTCGAGAGCAAACATGGTCTGTGTACTGACTGGGCCGTCTTGAGACGTGAAAGAATGTGCAAATTGTTACTTAAGACAGTGCGCAGTAGTGGTCACATTGTCAATAGTCCGCCTGATTTGGAGCATTTCTCAACCGAACCGACACATAGAGACAAAATGTGAATGCATGTACGAACATCCATTGCGATGCTTCGGTAATTATTTTGTCTTATTTTTCCAACAGGTCAAACTAGCCTCAGTTCACCGCAGAAAATATCTGCACCAGAAACATCAACGGATGATTTTGCTCGAGTGATTTACGCACTGGGAGAGGGGGATGATCAAAGGTCGTTGGCCGCTCGTTCACGGACCCAAAGTGAACATCAAGTGAACACAACAGCAACTTATCTCGAAACATGGGAAGCCCTCAGTTCCCATGAAAATCCGTTCAACCGTCCACCCGTTCCTCATAGCCTCGTTGTTGAACAGCATTGGGAATTGTTCCAAGCAATAAACCGAAGAGCTCCGAGGAGATTCCAGTGCCCCTATTGTGGGAATGTGTATGTACGCGAACGCGCCCTAAAGGCACATCTTCGCACATGCAAGGTGCGCCTCTCCGTGAATCCGATTGATCTGGATAGGAAATTGCTGAAATGCGAGTACTGTGACGAGGTTTTCCCTTCAAAGTCACGTTTGAAGAAACACGAGACTAGGCATTGTTCAAACCTGTTCGTCGGGACCTATTCGCAATGAGTAGAATGTAAGCCTAGTTCACGGTTAATGTCACTGGAGCCCGACTAATGCAACTACGTGTTGCTGGATTTGTTCATTTCGTACACAACCACAACGAAGGAGAAAGCTAGTGGGAGCATGAGATGAAGAGTGAAACAGAGGCTGAATGGATTCCATGCAGCATTGAGTAAAATCATCTGAGTAACCAATACACCTGCTTGTTATCTGTTTCATGTTTTCTGAATTAATGCTGTGGGCCAACCGGTCGTGTAGTCTGAATACATGATTGCGCGATCGACTGTTTTACCCAGCTGCCAATGGAGTGAGAGATCACTGGCAGCGACCAAGGCACCATTTCATGATGGTCAAGTCAAGTAAGTGTATTCGTCTTCGGGAATGCACTTATTATAAGGTGGGTAATAAGGCATTGCCGAGGAGGAATTTGCGGGGATGTGGTAGTCGAATGACTGTCCTGGTGTGAATTTGTGTGTGGGTCCTGGTTGGTCTTCTAGTCATCCGTCACACAGCAGTCAGATTGGTTGCATACGAAATGAACAATTCCAGCAATATATAATTGCCCTGGGCGTATCTAATGAAGTTATTCGTAAACTGGGCTTTCTTATCTGCTCGGTGCAAGATGTCGTCGAATGGATCGTGACCAACAGGTTCGATCTTTCAGAAGGACAAGAATTGGTGTGTGATCCCTCATAATCGCTGGTGTTTTATTGGCAAAACATGTGAATCGGTCCTCGTGAGCGAACGTGAGGACGCGAAATGGTGTTGCGATAACAAGAGAGATGATTGTGGCATCACAGTCCAAGAAACTCCTGTTTGTCCTCAGCACACCGTCAGTTATGCATGGAAATTAATCCAGCCTAGAGATGAATCTACCACGGGGAAGACACTAGTGATATCGCATACATGCTACTTCCTTCGCTGCGGCAACCCCAACCTTGAGAGTGAGGGAAATGGAAATTTCAAAATGGAGCACGCCGGGTGATAGATCATCGCCGAACACTCAAGGGAAACAAGACAATATACTTAATCAAAAATCAAAATTGCTTCCCTCATGTTCTATCAGAGGTGACGGAAGGCAAATATGTTAGTTCAAACTACCTAGTGAGCATTAGTCCCTAATCCTAAATTTAAGCTGATTGGTTGAGCAACCACCGACGCAAACTGCGCCACTGCCATGTACTTCGAGCCCATTGCTCATTTCACAACATTACACGCGATAGATTCAACTCAGTTTCCGAGCGGTATGCAGAAGAGCCTATTTCGCTACCCCACAAGACATGTTGCATCCACTGAGGAACCGCTTGTCGGTCTCCCATTCAAGATCATCTCAGTGACCCCAATCAGCTCAACTAAATTCGACTGTCCCCCCCCCCCCCGTCAAAAACAACCGACTCTAGCCAGAATGACACAATTAACAGCACTTTATTAATGAGACTAATGAGAGAGGAGAGTTCAAAAAAAAGAGAATTTGCTCGTTTAAATTAGATGCAAAAATTAGGCCGGGTTAGAGACTGGGTTTTTCTGATTAGTCCAATTAAACTCATCCGTAAAATTGGTTTTCCAATGCAGTCGGTACATACTGATTTCCCTTATTCGATGCATTTGACTGTGTAGGTATTTCTAGTTTGGGTAGACTAATCGGTGATTTCGCCTGAAACTATGCGCGCGAAGCATGGTTTCTGGTAGACTGTAGATTGCCTAGTATGTGATCATCTAAAAATCGCATTGCCCCTGTCCACATTGAATAAGCATCGGTTTGGGCATGAGCAGCTTGCAATTTGTAACTTTGAAAAGTGATGTACCGCCACAGATTCCGTAACATAGCGCTGGTGCTTCGGACTTCACTCAAAGTGAATCATGCTTGCAATTAACTAAGCCGAACCTAACGCCAAACGGTTCAATCAAGCTCGCGGATGTTTGTAGTTGGCCGGTCTTTGGACCAGGCATCTGATTTCCGGGAAGGCTCTGTAAAGATTCGCTAGGCTGACTTACTGCTGAACAAATTTCCACCAATGACAGAAAGCCTTTGTCCCGTCAAGGCTGCAAGTTTTTTCGGAAGGAGAACCAATCGCTAAGATCCCATCTAGAAATCTGGTTGTCCTAGCAGGCTGTTGACAAGTTTTTTTAAGACCGATGGTCTAGACGGGAACTTACATGAGCTCAGCCCTCTTCTGCACACAAGCCCTTTCGGTTCGTTATACACGGAGACCACTTATTATCATTTATTTTTGAAGAGCTTGGTCACAAACATAAAAAGTGAATGCAAGCGATGCATGCGAAAGAGTAACAGGAGAATATGGGAGAAAAGAGAGAAACGTCTCATTCGAAATCATGCCAAGGACAGTGCCACTCTGATGAGGTGAATCCCAAAGTATGTAAAGATTTTGGTATGGAAAAAGGCGTCTAAAGACTAACAACCAAAGAAAGGACAAACAACGGTGAATGCTCTTCAAGGCGCAGTATGCGCTAGCACAGTCAAGACTCGCACATCAGGCACAAAGTGACCGTCATACTGGGTCTGGGGTGAGATTAAATGGCAAAAATGTACCTTCAACGCCATGTGCCACGCATAAAAGTGTCATAAGTACGCAGGGAGCCCACAATGGCAAGCAAACACAAGTCACTGACTGCGACCTTAGGAAGTCCCAGTCCAATAACAGCCTTAGCGGATTGAGGAAAGCAGATCCCTCGATAGGAGATGATCACCGGTTGGTGAACCAAAAAGTCGATATCACAACCGATGGCATGTAGGGCTGAGATTATGGCGAGGGAATGTTCATCAGCACCATACTTCTGCTTCTTCTCATTCCACACTATCTCTCCACGCCCATCCGAGACTATGCTAACGTCTATT